ATCTTTGGAGATTCAGGGAGGAGGGAATGGTGATGGTGGAGGAGAAGGAGCAGCCAGGAAGAAATGGGAAAATGCTTGTAAATAGAAGTCAAGGCAACAAGGCATTCAGCAAGAAGCAGGTCATGGATAGGTAGAGGTAAGGGGGAGGGCCTGTCTCATTTAACAGACTTGAGAAGTACTATCCTGGATACTGATACTAAGTCAGTTGTTCAAGGTCTCATAATGAGTGAATGGTCAAACACTGTCAGCGATGCCCAGTGCTCCTTAAAGTTTGAGGAGGGTGAAGGTGGAGAAAGGGCTTCAGTTTATGGAATGATCATTGGTAATCTCCAGAGATCTCCACAGTTCCAGTAGAGTCTGGCTTTAGGAGAGGGAGATGAAAGCAGTAAGTACAGCCAAACTGGAACATTTTTGGTTGGTGTTATGGATTGAATTGTGTCCCCAAAAAATATGTGTCAACTTGCCTAGGCCATGGTTCCCAGTATTGTGTGATTGTCCATCATTTTGTCATCTGATAAGATTTTTCTATTTTTTGTAAATCCTATCTCTATGATGTTACTGAGGTGGGATTAGCGGCAATTATGGTAATGAGGCAGGACTCAGTCTGCAAGATTAGGTTGAGTCTTAAGTCAGTCTCTTGAGATATAAAAGAGAGAAGCCAGTGGAGAGGAGAGGAACTTCCTGCCACCAAGAAAGCAGAAAGCAGAACCAGGAGCAGAGTGTGTCTTTTGGACCTGGGGGTCCCTGTGCTGAGAAACTCCTAGACTCAGGGGAAGGTTGATGACAAGGACCTTCTCCCAGAGCCGACAGAGAGAGAAAGCCTTCCCCTGGAGCTAGCACCCTGAATTCGGACTTCTAGCCTCCTAGACTAGAAGAGAGAATAAACTTCTCTTTGTTAAAGCTATCCACTTGTGATATTTCTGTTTTAGCAGCACTAGTTAACTAAGACAGTTGGTAATCAGAAAAAGGGAATTTGTTGTCTTTAAATACTTTAGAAAAAGTGATGTAAGGCAGAAAAATTACAAGAAGAAAGCTTTTTTTAGGTAAGAGATATATAAGCATATCGAATGTAGACATGAATCTGTGAGAACCAGAAAATGAAATACTAGTGAGGAAGTGTGGACTTTTGCTGTTAAAGGTGATACAAATAATGATAATTTTGGTACAGCATTTGTGTTTCTAAGGTGTTTCCCACACGTTATTGTTTTTGAGCCTCACAGCATCTGTGAGAAGTGGGTTATGACTACTTCATGATGAGGAAATTGAAGTGCAACAGTGTAGGGGGTCCAGAATAGCTTTGATGTGGAGAACATTCTTTCTTCAGAGACTGTAGGTAAGGTGAGAGGATGATTATAAGGGCACCAGTATGTTTGAAGTTGAAGTGGAGATAATTGGGGAGCTGGTCATCTTATGGACTGTAGCTAAGTGCTTGTTGCCCCAAACATGGTCCCACAGGCTCTGAATTGCTAAAAGGAGGCAGGAAGGAAGTGATGCAAGAAATTCCCTTTACCTTTGCCCCATGTAATAGCCTTCCACAATGAGGGAGATAACCGGGTATTCCATGAAAACGTTGTTGGGAGGAGTATCGCTCTCTATCTGCCTAGTAGATTCCTAGGGAATGTGAGGCCAATTACTTTCTCAACTCCAAATATTGCCAGCATAAATTCTTGGGATTTTAAATCCACGAAATATAAAGTGTTGGTAAGGCATGAGGTCTTTCTTCCCTCCAACCCCTATCCTCACTGAAAATAGACCCTTTGTTTAGAGTGGCTTGTTAGAATTTGATATGGAGGTCAATTTGGAGTAATTATTAGCTTAAAGAAAATCATATCTGGCTGTTAAAATCTCAGTATTTGGTGTATGACCATGGAAGTAGAAACACATTTCTGTTTCAGTCATGTGTACCGGTGTAAATTCCCAGGCATCTCATCTCTCTCAAAATGGTGCTGTCACAATTCACCCAGGGGTCCTTCTGCCAGAATGACAAGTTCAGTGAGAGAAAGCTCTGTGCATTAGGGAAGGAAGGATGTGGATGACTTGACATGGATTAAGGAATCAGACTGACGGGGACATTCAAAGGGAAGGTAGCTAGAATGACATTTTAGAAGAAAGAATAACATGAAAAGACAGTTGGGAAGCCTTTGAAAGAAATAGAATTGCAGTGGCTTATGGATGCAAAATAAAGAATCTTTGCTACAATGCTTAGGGGACACTCAGTTTCTGTTAAGGGTGATGAAAAAAATTCAGAAATGGTGATGGTTGAATAACATGATGAACATATTTTATGTCACTGAACTGTAGATGGGAAGATAGTTGAAATGGCAAATGTTTTGTTACCTATAGAAAAAAGTTTGCTCATTAACCCAAAGTTGGGAAAGGGTTTGGAACTTTGGTAGCAGCAAGTCCAGGATGAATAGTTAGGAGAAGAGTTAATCATGAATTTGGGTGTATCTTTTTCAATTCAGCCATTAAACATGGAATTTGCCACTGTTCTCCAAACTCTCTGAAGGGGGCAGGTTTGGATAACTAGTTGTTTTGGGATTTTTTGTTTGTTTACATGAAAGCTCTGTAGAATCTGGGGTGTCTGCAGATGCAGTGCGGAGACAGCAGCGACTTTGCTGGGGGTGCTAACTATGCAGGACCTACCGAGGTGCCAGGCGTCTGTGCGGGCCTTGTTTGTTGTCAGGGTAAATTTCATGGCAGCCAAGCTTGTGCAGCTGCTCTCTGCCTCCACAACAGCTGCCAGCTGGGAGTAGTTTCTGGCTCTTTCCCCAGAGTGTTTCAGGTTGAACCAGAAGCTAGACATTCTGGGGCATAGTCACAATTGGGTAGCAGTACAGAGATTGTTTCAAAAGGAAACAGCGGGTGTGTAGAAGAGAAACTGCTGAGTTCTGTCCCCTCACCGACTTCTTCCCCTTCCATCTGCAGCCTGTTCTCTCGCTCTAGTCCGGCTGCCACCCAAGATAAAACAGTTGCCCTGCCTGAGCCTGGGTAGGGCTTGGGGCAAGGGAGGGGAACGGGGTAGAGGGAGGGCAGGTACTGATCCTGTTCTGAAGTGGTTCAGCCCTTAGGTGTGCCCGGGCTGTGCTGACTTGGTTTGGTTCCTGCCTTCCTTTCCCAAATGCCCAGGTACCTTGAGACTCAAAATGTGGTTTGAGGTCCCTGGTGGGAAGGGTGTCTCTGTAGAGTGTCTTTGGGGGTATGGTTGACCTGCCCTGGGGTGTCTCCCTTCCCCCATGCTGGCTTGGAGCCACTGTCCCTTCTTGTTACGAGTCTAACTCGAATGATCCAGAAACATCAAGGCTCTCACTCTAGAACAGTCAAGTCTTTCCGCTGCAGTTCTCTAGAGCAACTAAAAACCATCTGTGCTTGCAAACAGCTCTTCTCGTTCCAAACATCAGGAGCTTCTGAGAGCAAGCAAGGCATGGGGTACTTTTCCTTCCTTGAAAATACTGCTGCCGTCCTGGGAGCATGACTTAGCAAAACTGAACTGTGAGTGAGGATAATACAGATGGACTTTGCTTATTTTTATTTTCACTGTTCCTAACAAAAGGCAAAGTTAGCACTGAACTTAGTTGGTGATATTGTAGCTCAAAAGTGACATCACTGTTTCGTTATTCTTTCCTCAGTTTTTTTCCTACTACTCTTATCTATTATCTGCAACTTTTCACATCTAGGGAAAATACGCCCATATGTGTACTACGTATGTAGGTACCTAGACGATTAACAAAAAATAAGAAACCATTAAAATGAGGATTGTTTTATTGGTTGCATGTTGTTTTTAACTTTTCTTAACTTTTGTAGCACAGTTTTCTTTACCTCATCCCCTAAAGGATGCTGATTTAAAAAATGTAAGAGAAGTGTTAGGATGGTGTGGTTATCAATTTGTTTGTCAACCATAATTAAGTACCCTTAGGCTTTTGGATACAAGATTAATCTACAGCTCAACATTTGAATCAAATTCAGCAAAAAAAAAAAAAAAAAAACTCTTAAAGGCAAAAATCCAGATAATCAAACTTAGGGAGAACCTGAGAAAGAAAAGGCTTCCAAATGTGTCTGTGACCTTCCCATCAAATGTGCTTCATCATTACTGTGGATCATCCTGAGAACGCAGCCCAATTTTTCTACATCTCTGCACAGAGGACAGTGTATTACTGGGTCTTGTCTCTTGGAACAGGTGTCCCTGGGTAGTGCAGACAGTTAATGCACTCGGCTGCTAACCAAAAGATTGGAGGTTCAAGTTCACCCAGAGGTGCCTCAGAAGAAAGGCCTGGTGATCTACTTCCAAAAAATCAGCCATTGAAAACCCTATGGAGCACAGTTCGACTCTGACACACATGGGGTTGCCATGAGTTGAAATCGGCTCAACGATAACTGGTTATCTCTTGGGACATATTTCACTGGGATTTAAATTTTTTATTTCAGTGTAGATTCTCTATGATGGACCCTTGAGTGGGAATCCTGGTTTTCACTTTCACTGCTCTGGGATATGCACAAGAGGTTTTCTACCAAGCTAGTTGTGTTCCTGTCTTGTTTAATAAGAGCTTGGATTTCACTTTTACCCCAGCATCTAAATAAGCTGGATTTCTGCCTTCTTGCCACTTGGGTTTTACTTTATTTCAGTCTCCTATGAGTACTGACCACAGAGTTCTTTAAGGGTAAGATGAAGGGTAGGTCTTTTCTACTTTTTGTGTCTGACATACCTGTTTTTTACATGACATGGGAATAGAAATTGCCATCAGATACTGACACTGTGCTTTTCTGGTTCAGGTCAAATATTTCACCCTTTGCACTTTGAGTTTCTGTTTTATTGTTTTCTTAACCTGATACAACTTCTTAATTAGAATGTGCTGCTAGAGCATAGGCAGCATTGTCAAACTTTGTCCATTTTATAAAAATACACAAAAGCCCCAGACAAGCAGCTATAGTGCCAACTCATCCAGATGCGATACTGAAATCCCCTAGAGGGCCATCTTCATTGTTTTCTTTCTTTGTTCCAGAAGCAAAGGCCGATAATGAGCCGAGCTGTTCACCGGCAGCTCAAGAACTGTTGACAAGGCTGGGATTTTTACTGGGAGAAGGGATCCCGAGTGCCACACACATAACCATTGAAGAAAAAAATGAAACCATGGTAATGTCTGAGGGAGAGACTGCATTTCATACCTGCCCAGAGGATGAATGAAGTGCTAGCCCTCTTCTTCCCCTCCTTGAGTGAGGAAGTCATTGTTCGGTCAAATGAGTTCCCGGCTGTTGTGTACTGAAATCCATTTCAACAGTTTGTTTCTGAGGTTTTGCACTGGGGAGGTGGGGAGAAGCAGAAGGGAGCAAAATTTAAGAAAATGTCCACGTTAACCTTGTTACTGCCTACTCACTACCCGGAGAATAGTGGCTAAATGAATTAAAGTGGCTGAAAGAATTCCTTAGTGATGCTGCTGCTTTTATCTTTATAGCACTGTTCTTTTCATCTGGCTTCTTTGGGATGTGCTCTCCTGTGCTTTTTTAGCTGTTGAGGTTTTGGAGGGTCAGTGGGGTGAGGAAAAGATTTATAGGAGACGAGGCAGAGATGATCAGATGGCTCATCATTCGGGAGAGCACTCCCCTGTCCTAGAGCACAGCAGCATGGCCCACCCCTGCCTTCTCACAGGTGTGTGCATTTGAATAGCAGTGAGGGGCTGGAACATCTGCCCCTAGAGGGTCTCTGGGAGGGTACCTTGCATTGATTGAGATTGCAGTGGCCACCAGTCTCCTTCCTCTGACTGCAGAGCCCATAAATCTTCAGGAATTGAATCAAGTTGCAGAGCTCGTGATACATTACCAAAACAGAGTTCCCAGGTTTTCAGTTCAGAGGTCAAATAACCCATTTGTCTTCTGCAGACTTTAAATGAAAGGAAGCCTGCCTGTTTGCCATTTCTGTTTTACAAATGTGCATTCCCACTAAATTATTCCTAAGACTGCCCTTACGGTAAAAAAAAAAAATCACACAGGAGGGGAGAAGAACAAAGGTATTTCTCTTTTAAAACTTGGAAGACCATATGTCTATTCAAGCACCATAGATTTTAGAAGCTCTTTTCAAGTTTCCTTTGTTTTAGGTTCATTGTTTTGATGTCAAAAGCAAAAGAACGTGTTGAAGCGTCCTGGTAAGCCGTGCTAACTAACTACTCGTTCCATTCGTCTTGCAGTGCACAGCTCCTAGCCAAGGGATCAGTCCTTGCTCCACACTAACAAGCAGCACAGCGTCTCCTAGCACCGATAGCCCCTGCTCAACCTTGAATAGCTGTGTCAGCAAGACGGCAGCCACCAAAAGTCCCTGTGAGACCATTAGCAGCCCTAGTTCCACCCTGGAAAGCAAGGACAGTGGAATTATAGGTAAGAAGCACACTGCTCGGTAATGGAATGGCTTAGCGCATGGCAGCTGGCGCGTTAACCAGGCATTTCTCTAAGAGGATTTGTAGAGTGGTCTGTGAAGGTTGCCATGCCATTGCCTGCCCTTTTTTTGAGTACGGCACTGGCTTCGCGTGCAGCATTGGCTTTTAAATTCCTTGATGCTTATTTTACAACTCTGTGCTCGTTGGGTAAAACCTTTCCAGATCAGAGCTGCCCTGTGCAATTATAGAAATCTTCCGTATTCACCAACTAACTCCACTTGTTGGGGACAGGGTCTTACTGGGACATATAGCAGGACAATAAAATCTTACATATTTAGAAGGCTTCTAAACTCAATCTCAGGGTTATTTTCCCCATAAGAGTTCAGGCATTTGTTCTTTAGAGTTTCTTATAATGGGATCTAACCACTGCGTTGATGCCAGGGTTTCCCAAGGGTGCCCTCCCTGTGCCCCCGCACACCCTCACACACACAGCAGGTGAGGTGGTAAAGAGACATGAGTTCTAGTCCTGACTCTTATGCTGATTAGCCAGGTAGCATCAGCAACATTAATGAACTTTTCCGCACACTCCTTTCCCTGTTTATAAAGGTAAGGATTTGGACTAAATCAGTGCTTACCGGTCCCATGTGTGCATTAGAACCATTCAGGGAACGTGTTAAGAACCCTTACTTTTAGATCCCATTCCAGACAGACTGGGTCCACATTTCTGGAGGTGATCCTGGGTCTCTGGGTTTCTCACGTGTCCAGATTGGTGCCTGCTGGGCTTGTTCAGGTCCTCCCCTGCTCTACAGTTGTATTAATCATGGAGCTGTGCTGAACCATTCAGCTCCATCCATTTTGCTGAGTTACCCACATGTCTTTGAGGGATATTTTACATTTTATTATGGACTAAGACCCCACTTAAATCACATAAATATGTAAAGCACATGGAATGGCATCCACGCTCCTTATTTTCTTCAGTCACCAGCAATGTCTTTCAAGTGTAATTTGAAAAAACCAAGTGACAGGTTTGTTAGGTTTGTGTTCAGAAAGTCTGTGAGATTCCCAGGAGTGGATTTTTCGGGTCTGGTGTAATCCTTGCCATGGCTCCATGGGGGCCCCTCAGCTTAAGGAAGGTAGCCTCTTTTCCCAGTTTTCACTTTGATCAGGATCTTTAGTGGTTCTGAGTTTTTGTTTTGTTTCATCTGCTTTATTGAGATATAATTCATACACTACAAGATTCACTCATTTAAATCATCTGGATGATTTTTAGTTTAGTCACGGAGCTGTGTAACCACAATGTAATTTTAGAACATTTCATCACCCCCCAAAAGGAAACCCTGTAGCCATTAGAAGTCAGTCGCCATTTCCCTTAATAGTCCCCAGTCCTAGGTGCCTGCTGATCTACTTTCTTTCTCTATAGAGTAGCCTCTTCTGGGCATTGCATATAAATGGTTGGCTGAACTTTTCATAGCAAGCTTAAATTCTTTTCTCTCAACTTCAAGGCCTTCCAGTGAGCTTATTCTACTAATTCCCTGTTCTCATCTTACCCTGTTTCCCACCTGCTATTTAGTCTAGTGTGATTAATTTTTTTCCGGTCTTCTTTTCTCAGACTCTGGCTCTTTCTGGGCTGTCCACAGTTAATATTAGTGTTACTAATTCTGTACTGGCCAGATGACTTTCTTCACTGCATTCTTAGCTCTTCTGAAATTTTGCATCCTCTAGAGAGTTTATGTTCCTTCAAGGAGCTGGCTAGTGTTACACATTTTTTTTTTTACAGACTTTTTATTGTATGTTCTGGCATTGACATTATAAGCCTCTGAGTATAATCAAGTCAGCTTCTTGTTTTGACAGTTATAAACTTTTTCAGTAACAGAACCACCCATATTCATTCATTCATTCATGCCCACCTCTCTCTCTAATTGAGATGCAGTGCTATAAATTTAAAAGTTTTCCAAACAGGGGAGAGCAAAGGTGCTGGGTTAGTTTTCTGTACTGTCAATGAACGTTTGAGCTGCAGGAATATGGAGGCTCTTAATTAGTACTTGATATAAAATTTGTTGTTGTTAGTTGTCAAGTTGGCTCCGACTCATGGTAACCCCATGTACAACAGGAGGAAACAGTGCCTGGTCCTGTACCATCCATGTGATGCGGGCATGCTTGAGTCCATTGTGGCCACTGTGTATTTTGAGTGCCTTCCAACCTACGGGGTTCATCTTCCTGCACTACGTTGGATAGTGTTCTTTTGTGATCCATAGGGTTTTCATTGGCTAATTTTTGGAATTAGATGGCTAGACCTTTCTTCCTAGTCTGTCTTAGTCTGGAAGTATCACTAAAACCTGTCTACCATGGGTGACCCTCCTGGTATTTGAAATACTGGTGGTATAGCTTCCAGCATTGTAGCAACATGCAAGTCACCACAGTATGACAAAATGATAGATAGGTAGTGGTGATTTAAAATGGTCCCACCCAATCTCAGACTGATTAAAAAAAAATCCATCAAGTCAATTCTGACTCATAGCAACCCCAAAGGACAGAGTAGAACTGCCCCATAGGGTTTCCAAGGAGCGACTGGTGGATTCAAACTGCCGATGTTTTGGTTAGCAGCCTGATAGCCTGAGCTCTTAACCACTGTGCCACCAGGGCTTCTCAGACTGGTTAGTCCCCCATTAATGCTCCCCATAGCACCTCATATTTTTCTTCAATATACTTATTCTAATTTTATTATTTAACATTGTCTTCATATGGGCAGAGATCCCATCTATATTATTTCATCTGTCTCCCTAGTTCCTAGCACAGTGTTGGGAATGAGAAAGAGAATTATTGCTACTTTCGAGTTGCATCAAAGGAGTTGGTTGGTAAAGAAGCTATGCAGGATTCTCATTCCAAGTTGGCTTTATCAAATCTTTTATCGTCATCCTGTATTTAAGCTCTGTCTTGTAATTAAAGTGGTACATTTCATGTCATTGGGGCTGCTTTTCTGTCCTTGGCTCAAGCCAACATGTTCCCTCAGCTGAGCATGAGAGTTGGCAACATTTGAGGTGAAAGAGGGAGGAGTTAGGAAATGATGAGTAAGTCCTGTTTTACAGAAGACCCCCAGCTTCTGGAGATCATGGTTCTTGCTGCATTAGCTGTTCTCCTGCAGGGAGGAGGGGAACACTATGCTGATGATAACATTCCTCTTTTCCCTTCCAAGACCTGTGGAATTAGAACCTTTTGCCAGGGGATTCACAGAGGTGTGGTAGGGAGGAGAAGGAAAAGAAGTCTAAGTATTTCCTCTCCATGCAGACTGTAACCACAAGTCTTTGAAGAGGCAGGAGTGGTGGGGTCAGAGGAGGGAAAGAGCTTCCTTTAAATCAACACAGGGCGTGTAGGTTCCGTTGTCTCTCAGGGAGCAGGTAGCTGTGACTCAGCTGTGATTAGCAGGGGATGGGAGGTGCTTTTTCTGCCTGAAGAACATGCCTGTTTTAATAAAATGTAGCCTGGGAATAGAAACCTTTGGGCATCTTAAGTGTTTAACAGAGTAGAATTTTCAAGAACACCGGGAGCCTAGTGAGCAGAGATGAGAGTGAGATACCTTGGCTTCCTGCTGTGGAAGGCCTGACCACTGCTTGTAGAAAGGCTGGTTAGAATCCATGTTCCAAATTACATAGGGCCTGGAGAAGGGAGGAAGAGGCTTTCCATTTAATTTTCTGTTTTAAGAAGTTGAGGATTTGTCAACCAATAGTTTGGGGGTTGAAACGGAAGAGGTTTTGGGCCAGTGTAATGTGCACAAAGCTGATGTGACGCGTTGTAAGTTTCGGGGTACAATCAACTCCCTTACAGGGCTCAGATCAGTGTTCCATATACATTATTAGCAGAGTTATTTAGGGCATTTAGAGAAAATTCCAAACAATACTAGCCCATCCTTAAAAATTCCTGGGCCTCCCTTACTATTTAAGCTGATTTCCGTCATGCTGATTAATTTAAATAGTGTTGGCCAGCAGATACAGGGAAGAGAAGCTGTGTTTCTGCATGCCCGGGCAGCCCTCTCGGACTGTCATGGGTGCCCTGCCTGTGTTATGCTTCCATTGATTTTGACATATTTAGGTGAACAGAATTTTCTTTTTAGGATCTGCTTAGTAGGAGAAAGGACAGGCTAGAGACCATTAGAAAACTTGACATTCAGGAGGAGGGATGAATAGATGGAACAGAAGACTCTTTAGGGCAGTGAAACTATTCTGTATGGTACTATAATGGTGGACACATGGCATGCATTTGTCAAAACCCATAGTACATCACAGACCGACCCCTAATGGCAACTGTGGACTTAAGTTAATAACTGTGTGTTGATGTTGGTTCATTAATTGTAACAAATGTATCTCAGGAATGCAAGATGTTAATAGAAATAATGTGCAGGGGGTTGAAGGTACATGGGACTCTGTTTTCTGCACAATTTTCTGTAAATCTAAAACTGTTCTAAAAAATGAAGACTGCTAAGAAAAAATTGATTGGCCCTCTTGCAGCCTTTCTCTCTGGAGGCCGGGGCTTAGTAGAACCTTCCCCTCCCTGGTCCGACTTTATTATGTAGTCGAGAGGGGAGTCCCACTTCATCCTATTTCAGAAGGTTCAAGTTCTTCCGACATAAATGTCTTCGGAAGTATAATAATTCTGTCATGTAGAAATACAGTCTAAGCTGGATGAGATTAACTGAATTCCCTATGAATATCTTATTTTTTTAAGTAAAGTTCCTTATTCTTTAGATATTAAAGTCATTGGCATTACTTAGCAGTTAGTGTCTGATTTTCAAATTTGTGATGTGAAAACCTTCTAAATGTGAAACCCAGCTGTAGCCAATCACCATAAAGTAACTTCTCAATTATCTTGCTTAGAAAAGAAAAACTTGATAAAGAAGAATCTTTTAAAGGTGTTTCCTCCATGCTTGAGAAAAAATTTTTTCTTAATGACACTCCCTTGTTGGATATACCTTGTTTCTAGCTGTTATAAATGGAAACTGTAACCTGT